ATAATTATTATCAAACTTAGAGGTGCAGTGAAGCCAGTTATAAAGATAGCGCAGGGAGACTGGACCCATTATCCCAATACAAGGCAAATGCTGTCAGTACAGTAGAGGAGAGAGCTGAGAAGGGGAGAAAATGACACAAGAATAATTGGCAAAAGTAAAAGAAAGTAAGATGTACTGAGGTTTTTTTTTAATGCGTGGGGAGGGGGAGAAGAGAGAGAGAGGTGGAGGAATGAGTTAACTGGAATTCTCCAATGTTTCCAGTTACACAACAGGATTAACTAAAGGCTGAGAGGAGACTGTTTTTTTATGCGTGGCGTTCTGGTAGGTGAATCATTCATGATATGGCAAAAATCAAAGCGAGGGAGAAAAAATACATATCGAAAAGAGAAAATATTTACAAAATCTGCCTCCTCCAATTCTCAGAACTTACCATTCCTTTCAGGATCTGCCCCAGCTATCTGACAAGTGTCATTGAACTATAAACACCAGATTTCATACAGAAGACGGATTCCTGCCAATTCTATGTGGTGCTGAAGCTCAGCAGGTACTTTTTGTCAATCTCTCCACTCTTGAAGGTTGATCGGGAGACTGACGGGGGCTGAAACTGCAGTTACCTCTTTGATGATGTGAGATGAGCCTCTCTGCCCCTACCCTTTGGAACCCCCTCCCACAGTCCCTTTGCCTCGTTCCCCCTCTTGCCTCCTTCAAGGCCCATCTCAAAACCCTCCTCCTTGGCCCCATCTTCGGTCACCACTACTCTCCTTGCCCTCCTCCCTTCCTGATCCCAACCCCCAGCTCGGATCCAAATCCCTGACTGTTCAGGGTCTTGGGACATCCTCCAGATGTGAAAGGCGCTATACAAATGTAACTTGTTGTATATAAAGGAGGAAATTGTGGCTGATATCAACAAAGGCTACTCTTGATGCTGATTGGAATTTCAGCCAGATGATCTTGTTCAGTTGAGCGATTAGTATGCAGCCCAGTCATGGGTTTTGTGGGTTTCACTTGTTTTTGCTCACACTTTCAATGGAATAGTAATCTGAACTCAACACCTTCACCGTTCATGTATCATGCACTGCGCCGTGAGACCAAGTCCACGTGTGCGATGTTCAGTAGAAACAATATAGATTATCAATTATGATGTGACGCTAAATCAGTACCACTTCAGTTAAATGAAAACTAAGACAAAAGCTGGCTGCTTGTAGTTCTCCTCATGTTCAATCTCATCTACCTACTGTGCATTTCTATTTTCTGTTTTTTTCAGTGCAGTACTTCCCTTTTTTAAAGAAGAGTTTGTTTATGTGTTTGTGTGAATGATACCTAATTTTACAGTGACATTTTCTGACTTCCTCTTGGCAAATCTTGGCAAAATTTGCACTGGGCATCTGCACAAACAGTGCTGACTTGCCACTTGTGTGGGTAGTTTATATTAATTAAGGACAGAGTAGCAGAATTATCTCATTAAATAAATAATATAAGGGTTAAGAAAACCAGCCCAATTCACCATACCAGCCAGTTAAAAAAAAGTAAATCCTACTCTCCTGTTTGAAACAGCTGAATCGCAGCTGTGTAAATTAACAATGAGTGGTTGGGATCTCATGATGTTGGCTCAATATTGCCTCCATCCTGTACTTCGCTCCAAAGTCAGATGTCTCTTGCTGCCCTGCCCTCCTGCATTATTCAACATTTGAGGGCTAAAAAACATGAGTATTTTAACAGTACCAAACATTATTAGATGCCTTGCCCTGAATACTGGATTAGTAGCAAGAGTTACTGCCAGGCAGCCTCAGTCAACCCCATTAGACAATTCTGCACCTATCCCCTCATAATTCCAAATTCGGTGTGAGTAACCATATGTACCGACCTCCAGCATATTTTTGAAAAAAAGGTATTTGAACAATAATATACCAAGTTTTGCTCTCTCAGGTTATTGTTATATTTTTATGTTATAAAATGATACCTCAGCTCCTACTTTCATATTCACTGATATCTACATAGTTGAAACCACATTACCTGAGTTCCAGTTGCTACTGATTAAATAACTATAACTGACCTTGAGGCTCAGAAACAATGCACAGCTTGAATTGCAGTAAAATGTATTGATTAGTGCTGCAGAGGTTATGCAGAGTTTGGCAATGACTTTGAATAATGACCATAGGGCATTACTGGATTTTAAAAGACTTTTACAAATTAAGAGAGGGAATAATATCAACATTAACTTGGATTTATATAGTCCCCTTCATGCGGGGTAGCGTCCCGGAGCTCTTCGCAGTGGCAGAGGGAAGAGGGTGGGAAGGGAGGGGACAAGGCGGAGGAATCAAGGGAGAGAGTTCCAGAGTTTCAATCATAGTGGCTGAAGGCATGGCCACTGATGGTGGAGAGGAGGGCACAAGGGACAAAGAGGAGGCCAGAGTCAGTCGAGCGGAGGCAGTGGGCAGTGGAGTTGGGAGTAAGCAGGTAGGGAGGTGCGAGGGCATGAAGGGTTTTGAAAACGAGTGAGAGATTCTTGAAATAGATCCATTCGGTAATTGTGAGCCAGTGGAGTCTGGCAAGGACTGGTGTGTTGGGGATACGGAGTTTCATGCGGGTAAGTATCCAGGTAGCGAAGTTTTTAATTAATTGTATTTTGTGTATGGTGGAGCTGGGGAGACCAGCGAGGAGAGCATTGGAATAGTCCAGCCGCATTCGTCCACAAAACACACAGACACTCCACTTCCGAATAGATCCTGTGAAGGTTTGGGTTTTCCTCCTGATGTGAACATTGTTTTACCAAATGTAAGGCTTATTATATTTAAACTTTTCTAAAAAGATATTCTACCCTATATAGTTCCTTCCAATTCTCTGACCCATTAAGCAGCTTTCCAATTTTTTGTTAGTATGTATATACATACATATATAATATGCTACACTTAGTTTGCAAAGTGTAACATTTTTCAAATTGAACAGGGACCTTCAGACTTGAATGATATGATTGAATTACAATCATTGTAATGGTCATTTTTAAAAAAAGCATAGGCTATTCAGCCCATTGTGTCTGGGCATGATCATAACATATTTACTTAAAGGCCTTTCCTTTTAAATAATAAGTAGAAAAATGTACTTGATGTAAAATTTACTTACATTTTAAAAGTGTCATTCCTCAAGATGGATATTACTTACTGACTAGCTAGCACTGATTTAACTTGTTAAAGATCACTTTGGCAAACAATCTTGCCAAACACTTGATTTAATTTGCACCATATTTTTGCTAACTGGCTGCCACCTTCACCTACAAAATACACAGTCACTATTCATTTCAGTGAATCCTGCCGTGCACCTTTCAGACATTCACCTAAAGTGAAAGGCACTGTCTCAAACTCGAGGCTAATTTATTATTTGTTAGTACCTGGGTTTGCTAACATCAGTAGCAACAATGATTTTACATTTATAGTTTGGGAGTTCGTTTTAAAATAAATGTCTGCCTGTTCTGCTCGTTCCGGTGGATGTTAAAGGTCCTACGGCACGACTGGAAACGAGACGGGAGTTCCTCCCGGTGTCCTGGCCAACAGTCACCTTAAGATTTAAAAAACGGTCACGCGTTTCATGGCTGTTTGTGTGACGTTGCTGTGCGCAATCGTGCCGCCGCGTTTGCCTGCGTGACACAGTCACTCCATTTCACAACAAATCCCGTGAAGCACTTTGGGGTAATGAGACGTAATACCAAATGCAAGGATTATTATTGGTAATAATTGTTATTAATCATAATAGTAAAGGTCGGCCATTGCCCCCTTCAAAGCCCTGACAGCATCCCTTTGAGGCTTTGCCAAGTGGGTGCCTGTGCCCCCCTCGCCCTGTGAGCTGCTGCCGCTGCTCTGAGCTCCTCAACACCAGCCCCCGGGGGGGGGGGCACCACTCCACAGCGGGCAGTGCCACTGCCGCCTGAGGGGAGGGTGACGAGCCTCCCCCCCCCCCCCGGAGCCCGGTGTCAGGGCACAGCTGCATTTGTGTTGGTTGTTGCGGTGAAGTTGTGCTGCAATGGGTCGGGGGGGGGAGGGGGGGGGGGGGCCGTGATAGGGCTGAGGGAGCAGCGAGGCGGGGCCTCCCCCCCCACCCCCCCCGGGGCCACAGTGGTTGGGGCTCCGGGGCTGTGTTCTCATTGTAGCTCAGCTCTGGGCTGAGTGGCTGCAGATCAGGGGAGAGAGAGGAGGGGGGAGAGAGAGGAGGGGGGAGAGAGAGGGGAGAGAGGGGGGGAGAGAGGAGGGGGAGAGAGGGGAGAGACGGAGGGGGAGAGAGAGGAGGGGGGAGAGAGGGGAGAGAGGGGGGGAGAGAGGAGGGGAGAGAGGGGGAGAGAGGAGGGGGAAAGAGAGGGGAGAGAGAGGAGGGGAGAGAGAGAGAGAGAGGAGGGGAGAGAGAGGAGGGGAGAGAGGAGGGGAGAGAGAGGAGGGGAGAGGAGGGGAGAGGGGAGAGAGAGGGGAGAGAGGAGGGGGGAGAGAGGAGGGAGAGAGGAGGGAGGAGAGGAGGGGGAGAGAGAGGAGGGGGAGAGAGAGGAGGGGGAGAGAGAGGAGGGGGAGAGAGAGGAGGGGGAGAGAGAGGGGAGAGAGGGGGAGAGAGGAGGGGGGAGGAGAGGAGGGGGGGGAGAGAGGAGGGGGGAGAGAGGGGAGAGAGGGGGGGAGAGAGGAGAGGGAGAGAGGGGAGAGGGGGGGAGAGAGGAGGGGAGAGAGAGGGAGGGAGGGAGAGAGGGGAGGAGGGGGGAGAGAGAGGAGGGGAGAGAGAGAGGAGGGGGGAGAGAGAGGAGGGGGAGAGAGAGGGGAGAGAGAGAGGAGGGGGGAGAGAGGAGGGGGGGGAGAGAGGAGGGGGAGAGAGAGGAGGGGGGGAGAGAGGAGGAGGGGGAGAGGAGGGGGGGAGAGGAGGGGGGAGAGAGGGGAGAGAGAGGAGGGGAGAGAGAGGAGGGGGGAGGATAGAGAGGTGTGAGGGAGGATAGAAGGAGGGGGGAGGATAGAGAGGAGGGGGGAGGATAGAGAAGTGTGTGTGTGTGTGGGGCATAGAGGAGAAATTCATTGTTGATATTGTTGTCGCGAATAAAAAGCAGGAATTTGTTCTTGGCTTTTTTTTGTTAAAAATTTTTTTTGAGGCGCTTCAACAAGAACGGGGTTGGTTTCGAAGATAAGTAAATAGAGAGAGGGGAGAGGGTGAGAGTGAGAGTGAGGGTGGGTGAGGGGGGGAGACTCTGCCTGGGGTCTGTTCAGCCTCTGTGAGCCCAGCCCCCGTGAACCTGCTGTGAGGAAGGAGCCGCAGACACACTACACACCACAGCAGCACAACATGCCTGTGAGGAGAGAAAAGGTGATTCTTGTTGATCAAGTTAGCATCTAAAAGCAGCCTCTGTCGCTGTCTGTACTCTGTGAGGTTTATTTATAATATATAACATATATAAACTTGCGTTTGCACTTCTAAAAACCCTCCCACTTTCGAACACAAGTGCTGTGCTTAACTTGTTTTCTCTCTCTCCCCCCCCCCACCCCCTCACTACTCCTGGGAATAATAAATCTCTGCTTAATGTTATTTCCATGTATTTGATCAATGCGTTGTTTAAAAACAAGGACGAATATAAACTCCAAATTAACTTCTTTTTTTAAAAAACATTTCACGAATGAGTATTTTTTTTTGGAGGATTTGTGTTTTTCAGGTTTTAATTGGAGAGAGGGAAGTTTCTGTGACTCTCTTGATCCCAGTAAAGTTGTCCTGGGGCAATGGGATGTTGCACTGACTATTGCACTTGAGGTGAATGTTGATCATCGAGCTGAGCAAAGCATTAAAACGCTTGCACGACAGTTTGAAATGCAGTTGGATTGTATATTCTTTGCTGTCTTAGTGGCAGCACGTAAAGCCAGCGGTCGTGTGAGTTCCCTCACATGATCAGACACAGATTTTGTATAGTACAGTAATCCTCTGCGAGAGGGCAGTCTTACTTTTGCTGACCTAGGGGCTGACAGTTTCTTTTGTTTGAAGCATTTCACGAGCAAGTGGGTATCTTGCTCTTGAAAAGTGTGCCTGTCTAATGTACCCTGCCCATTCACCTTTCAAAAGCAAATTATATTAGATAGATTTATTTTAGGAAATAATATCGTGGGATACAGTATATAGTTTGGGAGATGACATGTGCATGCGACTGCCAGGATAGAGGTCTTCTTTCGTCTAGCAATTCTTATGTTCTAACCTATTCCTGTGAAAATTCTCTGCACTCTTTTATACATGAGCCAGTTGAGCACGACAGTACTTAGTTCTGGTTTTGATTTTGCTGCCTTCACTCAGCCACCGTTTGAAGTCCAAAAAAGGAGCATCTTGTCTAAAGACAACCAGCTGATCAGCTAAATAAGGCTAGTGGAGGTCAGAAAGCAGCCTGAGTGTGACATTCAGCCTCTGCTCTCACTGTTTAGTGTAGACATCGCCAAGATTCCTTATTTGTGCAGGATGTCCCATAGCCGATGATGTTTTTTGGCCAGCCGGGTGTCTGACACATGCAGAAACCTATCACCATGCTTTTTATGTGTATAAATTTCTCTGTGTCTGGAATGGAATGTGGACTCTCTCCCTCGAGGATACTCTGTGATCACCTAGTTCGGGAAAGTATTAAGTGCAGGTTGATGAAAGTCAAAGGGGACTTCAAAGTGTGTGTTGGAGTACTGCTGAAGTCTAACCGGCTTAAACTGCATAGCTTGCCACTGAGAGCATTGACTAGAAAGCTTCCCACTGCTTGTCTAGGACCACTCTGCCTGCTAAGCTGGCATGCAGAGTTAACATAATCCTTGCATTTTGATATAGCGCTTTTCATGAGCTGAATGGGAAGAATCACTGCCCCCAGTGACTGTTGGAGCCAATTCAGCTCCAAGGATATCCTGCGTATCTCCCCCTTCCCAGGAGGATTGTCACTAGTTGATCATTTGACATAGTGGGTATCACAAACTCCTTGCAAATTTTCTTTGAGCAGCACATCTTAGCATGAAATGTGTGAGAGCGTTGCCACCATCTTGGAGTGTGGACAACCTTGGAGAGCCAACTCTATGGTTGAATACTGAGATACTGAGGCTCTCCCGATTGGCTCCCGTCAGCATGCGATTGCCAGGATAGCATCACCATCCATGGATACACACTCCACTAAGCCAGTCCAAAACCTTGGCGTCTTGTTTGACCTTCAACTATCCTTTTTCCCCCATGTCTATGCCATGACCCGCTCTGCCTTCCCCCACCTCCACAACATTGCCCGACTCCGCCACTGCCTCACCCCTCAGGCCACCAAAACCCAAGTTATATGCCTTCATTTCATCCAAGCTTGACTATGTCAATTTCCTGCTTGTCGGCCTTCCCAACTCTTCTCTCCACGAGCTGCAGATAATCCAGAACTCTAGCTAGTGCCCTCTGTCGCATCAGGCTCCGTAACCCCATCATCCCCACTCTCACCAGGCTTCACTAGCTCCCCATCCGTCAAAGGATTGAGTTCAAAATCCTCATCCTCACCTTCAAGGTCCTCCATGGCCTTGCCCCCTCTTACTTCTCCGACCCTGCTAACCCCTTATCAACCTGTCCACTGCCGGCTTGTTCTATATCCCCCGCCCCACCATCGGTATTCGGGCCTTCAGCCTCTCTGCCCCCTCCCTCTGGAATTCCATCCCACATTGCCTTTGCCTCGCACCCTCCCTTGCCTCCATCAAGGCACGCCTCAAGACCCTCCTCTTCGGGCGTACCTTTGGCCACCCTCCTACACTCACTGTCCTCCACCCTACCTGATCCCAATCGCCCCCCCCCCTCCCCGGCTTGGGTCCTAATGACCCTGACTGTTCAGCACCTTGGGACGTCCTCCAGATATGAAAGGTGGCTTTACAAATGTAATTTTGTATTGTCTCTTTCTGCCCATAGCTCAAACACACATCCGTTGCCATTGAGCAATGGTTCCACAGCTTGGTAGTGTGGCACTTGAACAGCAGAGACTTACCTCCCTGCATGCTAATCAATTTGGATTCCAAGTCCTAAATATATGATCATGTTTCACTAAACCATCCAAATAGTGCCTTCCAGCAGTTGTCACCCCATGCTCAAAGTTTCCTTATCATGTCTATCAGTGTGGTGGTAGGATCTATATAAAATTATTTGATGTGTGAGCCACCTTGATGTTCTAAAAGTCCAAGCAGACATAGAGTATGCTACTGTGCTTTTACAGAACTGAACCAAGAGGAACTGTTATGTTTCATATAACCGATTAGATCAGCTGTAAAATAGAACTTTGATGATGGATAAAGGTGGACTCACTTTCAGCTTTTTATCATTCTCTCATTCTTGCACGTGTAATTAGATTTGCTGCTGTGGAATGTTTTTCTGGAGTCAATATAATGGTGGCTCCATTAGATTGGCTCCAGAAGTTTAGTGGGATCTGCTAATCTGAACCCGCCTGAGAATCTGTGCAGCTGGATTGATTGGTAATGCCCTGTTTACACTAATGACTTTCACGGGAGAAGGGAGAAGATGTGGCAGGCATTTGTTCTCCAGTTTGTTGGTAAACAGAGTAAACAGTCTCTGCCATGGGCTTGCTTGCTCCAGCATCGATTTTAATAAAAGCAAATTCTTTTGAGAGGCATGATGTCTCAGAATTTGGATTTAGTTGAATTTAACCTTCAAAATGTGGTGCAACTACAAAGTATTCTTTAAAAAGGGTGACTAAATCAAAGTATTTTTCTGTATTGTGTAAGTGCTGTTTCTGCAACATGCAGGTTATGGGTACTTGCATATACGTGACACTTTTCAGGTAGAGAAATGTCTTAAAGCTCTTCAGACAGATGGAATGATTTACCTAAGCAAGGTGGGAAAAGAGGACAGGGGGAAACTGAGAGGGTGTGAGGCAGAGCAATTTTGGACAGAGTTCCAGAGAGGACGAGAATAACGGATGAAAGCTCATTACTTGTTACTAAATGTAGTTTTTAAATGCCGTGCATTTTATAATCCTTCCCCCAAAAAATTTAGTCACTCAATCCACGACTATTTGTGGGACAACACTGTGCACAATTAGCTCCCGGATTTCGCCCACAATATACAGTCAATCCACTTTACAATATATTCTGTGAAGCGCTTTGAGGCGTCTCAGTGGTGTGATAAGGCGCTATATCAAATGCAAGGATTATTATTACTAATGGTGGAACAGCAGGGATGGGGGGAATGCAGCAGGAGGGAATGGTTGGGAGAATGGGGCTGGGCCCCGAAACACTGGAACACTCCCTCAAATCCCTCCGTCTTGCCCACTCCGTCCCCATCCTGAGGTCGTGCCTAAATACCTACAACCAGGCTTACAATCAGCTTCCTCTGGCTCGGTGTCATGCTCTGCCACTGTCAAGCGCTCTGAGATGCTACCCTGCATGAGGGGAACTATATAAATGCAAGTTATTGTTGTTTTGAATGCTGGTGTCTTTCTCAGATGATTCCCTCGAGGCAACTGAGAATTTTAGCAGTATTTAGGAGCAGTGATTTGTCATGGTAAAAAAATGTGTAGCTGTTATGTGGGGAAAATCAGCAAGATCACATGAACCTGTGTTCTTAACTTGAATAGAGCTTTATTTGTATATTAACTTGAATATCAACTTTATTAGTAAATTGCTCTCAAGCACTTCTGCAGAGTTGCATAAGCCAAGGAAATACAAAGAATTTCAAATACTCGAAAAAGGGCTGAAAGCTACAGGGAAATGTAAAAACATTATTTGCTTTTGTTCAAATTTATTCAAATTGCAAAAACATTTTTCTTACAAAATGTAACCCTGTTTTATGTTCCCATCCCAGTGGATTTAATGACTAACATGCTGGACTGAGAATAGGAAATGATTCTGCTGCAATCACTCAGCCTGTCAGAACAAGCCTGTGTGGGAAAATAGTAAAGCAAGCGCATCTCTGGTGCTACAATCAGAAATGCTTTTGATGCGCTTTGGGAAATGTTTAACAAGCTATGCTATGGTGAAGTAGAACTAGCAAAGATCAGAGGATATCATCCAGTGATAAATGACTAACCCTGAAGATAGCAACTTGGCACCACTCATTGTGTGCGGCTAAACTTTTCAGGTTCAATGTTTGGTGACTGCGAGAACCATTGTCGTTTAGGTACTAAGTGGACGAAATATGTGTGTTTGTTGGTAAAATAGCGTTAGCTCTGTTTTGGGTGGATAAGGTTATGAACTGTATTATTGTCTGAAACAACCACTAATACTTTTCTCTTATCCTTTGCTTTGAATACAGTGATTTTTTTTCCAACTAGTGGTTTAAATTTCATTTTAAATTATAAAATCTTTCTGCCTAATCCTGTGATCTGA